CGGTTCCCTGACAGCTCTCACCCAGCCCCAGCCCCAGCCCCAGCCCCAGCCCCAGCCCCAGCCCCAGCCCTTTTCCTCCATCGGTAAAGCCCCTTCCCTTGGCCAACCTCGGTCCCTGCCCTTCTTTCTTGGAAGACAGTGATGTGGGTGCCGCTCTGCCCCTCCAAACTCAATAGTAGTCACCTCTGGTTCTGCACACAAAACAGAGCTCCGCATACAGTAGGTGCTCCGAAATGGCTTGTTAATACAAGACGAGTCTATGGGAAACAGTAGGCTCTCCTGACTCTGAGCCGCTGCACCCCTTAGGTATCAGGAGCTGGGGGGAGGGGCATAGGGCAGAGTCCGGCTACTCTTGCCGCAGGCACTGCGCTTTGCTGGAGTTTCAGTTCAGTTTGAGGATTACCTGAGCACCTACTTGTGGGAGTGGGTAGTCTGGGCGCTTCTCTAGGGCACTTCAGGCATCTCAGTGTTCCAGTGCCCAGCACGGGACCTGGCTCACAGCGGGCACTTGCTGGACTCTGGCTGCTTCTCCAGTCCCCAGAGGGATTGAGAAGGCCCCAGGGGGAGAAGGGAACCCCCTGTGATTGCTGCTTGAATCAGAGGCTCCCACCTGAGTGGAGTCCTGGCCAGAAGCTGGAGGCTCCTGGATCAAAGGCTCAGGCCAGGATGAGGAGATGCCAGGCAAGATTCTCTTGCCCACTTCCCTTCCCCCAACTGAAAGTTCACTGGACCCTTCTAGAAAGGGGACAGGGCGTGAAGAATGCTTGCATGGAAGGAGACACGAGTCCAGTGTAGACCTGGCTTCTTTTTTTGTTGTTAATCCTCACTGGAGGATTTTTTTTCTATTTACTTATTTATTGAGAGAGAGAGGAGAGAACATCTATGTGAGAGAGACACATTAATTGGTTGCCTCCTGCATGGGCCCTGACCCAGGCCGGGGATTGAGCTTGCAACCCAAGTAGGTATGTGTCCTTGACCGGACACCAAACCTGTGACCTGGGGGCCGACACTCTAACTACTGAGCCGTGCCGTCCAGGCCTAGACCTGGCTTCTTAAAATGTGGGACTGGGATTGCAATGTCTGGGTTCTACCCCTGTCCTGTCCATCTTCCTCACTGGGCAGAACCTAGAACTTTGTGGTGGCTGTTTCCCCTGTTTCTGAAATGGGCACAACCTTCGGAAACTGAAGATTCCCAAGCCAGCAGCTTGACACCAAGTTACCACCGTCCTGCCTTCTGGGAGAACTACAGGCTACCTGGTGTCAGCCCTGTGTCAGCCCCACCAGCAGCCTGGACCACACTGGGTCTGGGCTTGTCCACTTCCCCAGCTGTGCTAAAGGTCCCTGACAGTCCCTCCTAGACTTGCCCAGGCCTGAGCCCCAGCCCCAGCCTGGGGAGGGTCGGTCCCTGTGGGCTGTAGCCCCAGCTGCGTTGGAAACACCCTGAGCCGTATAATCAGGCCACGTGAGCTGCAGGCTCCCCTCCAGTCAGACTTGAGTCTCCGCAGGAAAGGCACTCGCTCTTCTCTGTCCGGCCTGGGTGGCGTTGCTGTGCCTTTGGCTAGGTGAGGGGTCCATTTTAGGGTATATTTAAGTTCAAACACACTTGGATGTTCAATCATTAAAAGGTTGGAAGCCCCAAAGGTTGGACCATAGGCTATTCCTTCAAAAGACGTTGTAACTGGAGATTTTTGGACTCAGAAGTTTCAATCAGTGGATGCCGAGATTGTAGTTTTAGAACTGCAGATGCAGAAGGGAGACCTCAGAGGTCACCAGCCAACCCCTATTCCAATCACAAGACCTTTCACACGTCACTGCAAGGGTTTGTTGACCTGCTGTGTCTCCCCTCCAGGAGGGCCTGGGTCCTAGCAATGTGCCATTGTCACAGGAGCTCAAAAAACACAGCTGACTTGAATCACAAGTGATAACTGCCTTAATGGACACTTATTTCCAACCCCAAAGATAGCAAGAACAGAGCTTAAGGGTGTGGATGGAGCCAGCCAGCTGGGCTCAGCCTCTCATTAGCTGGGTGACCTTGGGTGAGGTAGTTTACCTCTCTGAGCATCAGTGTCCTCCTTGGTAAAGGGTAACGTGGGACTAATAATAGCGTCTACCTGTTGAGAGGATCGAGTGAATATGTAAAATGCTGACCCTGTTTCTTATTCAGCCTGCAGTCAGGAACGCACAGACCCTTTACCTTCATTCCTGCCTCAGTTGTCTCTTGTGTCCTGCTGCTTTGGGACAGTGGCACTTGGCATGTGGTTTAGCACATCCCCCAGTGAGGCTGGCATTGTCCCCATTTCACGGGTGAGCAGATGGAGGTTCCTAGCTGGAGGCTGTGCCCTCCTGCTGTGCCAGAGGACAGGCCTGGAGACCCAGAAATGCTGGTCCCTGCTCCCGCCTTAGTCCCCGTGGCTGCTTGGAGGAGCAGGAGGCCTCAGTGCAGGTTGAGAAAGCGTGACAGTCTGGGAAGTGTCTGCTGGTGAAGCTAGAGCAGGATGTGGGTAGGGAGGCCAGTGGCGGGGTGAAGTGGTGGCAGCGGGGGTCAGCTGTGGGGCTGCAGGACTGAGCAAGAATATCCATTTCTACACTTTGGACATATTGCTTGTTTGTGGTCATATCAGTGCTGCTCTCTGCATGGAAGCTTCCACCCAGAGCAGTGAGGCATGTGGTATGATTTCTGGGGCTCTAAAAACTTCCTTGCTTCAAGTCAAAGTACTTCCTTGGAGCCCCGGGTGGGGCTGAGGAGTGAGGACCACAGCACAAGCTTGATGGCCCCAGAGAGCCTGTGCCCTTAACCACTAGCCGCAGAAGGCGGCAGCTGACAGAGGGCTGTGTGTGTAGGCTCAGGAGGTAGGTGGCAATGGTCTGGGCCCTAAAATGGAGACAATACAATGTCGCCGGAGGATATGCTGAAGTACACGACCATAAGTGGCCTCTACACAGTCCGAGCCTGTTTCCCATTTCACAGGCAGCTTGAGGAGGGGGAGGCTGCAGTGGCAGGTCTAGCACAGGGCCAGGCCTAGGGCTGGCCCCTGTCGCCTGCCTGGCTGTGCCTGTGCCCGGCCAGGAGGCCTGCCGGGACGGGGCGCAGAGAACAGCCGGCCAGGTTCCCCAGATGAGCAGCAGCCCGATTCTCTTGGCTGCCATGAATAGATAAGCAGTGTGCTACGGCTGCTAAAAAAAAAAAGAGCTGCTGCCTTCAGCCACACAAATAGAAGTGGAAGTGTGTCTTCAAGGTCTGGGAAGTCCCACTGCTCCTGGGGTGGTGGTGGGGGTCACCCGTCAACAGGCAGAACACACACCGTCCCCGTGCCGCCATTCCCGTCCATGGACCCCGGAGGCTCTGGGTCTCCTAACCCGTCTGAGTTGACACACGGTCTATGGGCAATGATTTCTCCAGGGAGGAGAAGCCTGGATAGACCCCAGCCCCTCACAGACACAGGCCTTGTTGGGTACCTCATGCCCCCCCACCCCAGCATGGCATGCTGAGCTGCTGGCTCACAGGTTCTATGCCAGGCTGGGCTCTGAGGACAGGGCCGTGCCTGGCATGGGGGCTGCTCAAGAGGCACTTGCAGGACAGACAGTTGGATGGACAGACTACGAACGAGGGAAGGTGGGAGGTCTGAAAGGCCGAAGGGATCTCGCTGTCCCTGTAACATCTGGGCCATTCCATACTGAGTCTGGGGTACCCTTTTGCCCAGACTCTCCAGAGGGCCTTCTAGCTCACAGGGTCCCTTCCACCGTTTAAAGCACAGAACCAAAAGGCCAGCAAGGACCTTGCTCAAAGTCGCGCAGCAAGCCAGGACCCACCAGAAGCAGTCCCAGACTCCTACCGGCAGCCCCCGCAACAACCTGCAGCCCCTCACTGGCCAGCATGAGATCGTGCTCCAGATGGTGCTTCTGGGACCCCAGGGACCTTACATGGAATAGGGCTGTTTATGCAGAAGGAAGACCTTCCAACCAGACTGCCTTTTGGAGACCATCACAAGTGTTCAAGAGTTCTGCCTGGGGGAGGGAAGCGAGCTGGGAGGGCTGTGTCCAGGGGACCCTAGAAGCCTCCAGCAGGTAGGAGCTGGAAGTGCCCTCTTGTCCCCTTGGCAGATGTGAGCTCTCCCCTGCCCTTCGGCATCACCTGGCAGAGAGGCACCCCGGGCTTGCTGAATGGAAGCTGGGGAGTTAGATGTGCTGGGCTCCGGGAGAACCAGGGGCTGGGCTGTCCTCCAGCACCTCTCAACAGAATCTAAGGAAAGGGCTTGGTGGGCAAGTGCAGACGGGGAACACTAGGTTAGACAAAGTGAAACTGGTTTCTTAAGTGCAGGACTTCCCACCATCTGCTAGGGAGCAGAAATGGCGGGCAGCCCTCCCCAGGCTGGGCTGAGCAGGAGCCCTCTCCTGCAGAGCGGTGGAGGGCTGGCTCCACACCACCGGGCAGTTCCGGGACTCACTCCCTCTCACTCGGCTCGGCTGGCTCCGCACTGGTTGGCTCTCAGCTGCAAAGCCTCTAAGCCACTCCCGGCCGGACCCCAGCCTCCCAGTTAAGAGAAAACACTAACACCAGGAAGAAGTGGCTGCGCTGGGAGTGGCAGGGGCCCCTGCAGAAACAAGCTGCAACTGGCGCCCTGCTTCCTGGGAGCAGCTCGGGGAAAGGGAGAAGCTGAGGCTCGGCTCTCCCGGCGGTGCTGCATTGCAGTTGTGTTTTGAGGGCTGAGCGGAGCAGGAGGAAGTTGTGAGCAGCCGGGCTCCTGGCAGGCCTGGAGCAAGCAGCTGCTCATTTCCAGCTGGGACAGCTCTGGGCCCGCCACAGCCCTGAGCCCTCTGGTGACTCAGCACCGGACCCGGGACCCCAAGCAGGGCCTCTTCCGGTGCAGGCTCGGGTGGTGGGGAGAGGAACCATGGTCTGTTCTCCCCACAGGCAGAGCAGTCTGCAGGGGAGCCCCGGGCCTCCCACTCTTGGGCCCTCCTGTCTCTCTTCACCTCAGAAGGACCACAAGAGCAGCTGGTCCAGGAAAAAGGACGTTTTATTTTCATAAATACTCCTGCTCCCACTCACACACCGACCCCGCTTCTGCCCATAAATAAATGAATGGACAGAGGTGAGACGCCCACAGGAGGCCCAGCAGGGGCCAGTTAATGAAGGAGACAGAACTCCAGTGCAGGTCCTCCCTTGGCCAGAAGCTCCAGAGCCCAGCTGGGGCCACCTGCCTCTGGCATTACCCTCAGGTCAGCAGTCACATAGTCCCCATGGCTCCTCAGGAGGCCTGACAGCAAAGGAGCCAGGTGGGGCTCCCCCAACTGGGCCCCCTGAGATGGTGACCACAGGCCACTCAGAAATATAAGTTGAGAGTCAAATCACACACCAGAGAGTGCAAACAGCCGGGGGTGCAGATGTCACTCCCCACAGTTACCCAGTTCCTATGGAGGAGGCCTGAGCTGGTCCATGGCTCCAGCATGACCCAGATTATGGCTGGGCCTTCCCATAAGGCAAGAGAGACAGGCGGGGATGACCCCACTCCAGGCTGAGATCAGGGCTGGGCCTGAGGTCCTGGCCCCTGCCCGGCAGCCATGCTTCTTCCAAAGACCCCAAGTCCTTCCAAGGCCACGCAGCCCTTCTCTGCTCCGGGCTCCCACCCGTGGTGAAGCCCCAGCAGCGCAAACCCAGGCCCAGCCTCCTGCTGGGTTTGGCCCAGCAGGGAAGGGGTGAAGGAAGGAGGGGGCCACAGGGGTGAGGGGAGAAGCACCAGGCACAGATATGGCCATGGGGACAAAGGGCATCCTAGGCCACCACAGCCTCCTACCCAGGCTAGCCAGTGGCCGATCCCATTGCCTCCTCCTCCCCTCCACTCCCCTCTCTGTTCTAGAGGCTCCCCCAGGTCTCCGGTGGGGGGAACTGGTCCACGTCCCCCATCTCGTTGTAGGCCTGGTCGCCCATGGTGAAGAGGAGCTTGTAGCGGAGGCGAACCTTCTCCTGCGGCAGAGACAGCAAGGCAGAGGGTCAGAGGTGGAGAAGAGGCGCCCCCACCCCAGCAGTGCCATCACAGCTGGGCCCCTCACCTTCTGGGGGTTGGCGAGGAGCAGGACCTGGGTGATAGCTGAGGGGTGGACGATGGGGTTGAAGGCTGGCAGCTCCGTGCCCGAGGGTGGCTGCAGCTTCACTTTCATGACCTGTGGACACGAGGGCAGGACGGGCATGGGCCCCGGCTTCCCTCCCCATCCCGAGGAAACAGGCCCAGCCTGCCTGCCAGCCCCTCTTCTGGGGCTCTGTCCTTTGGCTCCCTTTTACCCCTTGAATCCTCCAGGGAGAGAGACCCCACTCCCAGCTGGCCCCTGTCTAGCCCCGAGAGGCATGGCCATGTCACCTTGGGGACAGCTGACTGGAACACGATATTGCGGATGGGCTGGGGGGCAGTGCTCAGCATGGAAACCACCACCACCAGCACGTCGGAGCGCCCAGGCAGCGGGTCTCGGGCGAAGTGGAAAAGGACCCGGAAACCATGTTGGTCGTACACAGTCACTGGCAAGATGCTGCCTGAGGGGGAGAAGGGGAGAGGGTGCTGGGCGGAGCTGGGCTCGAGCCCACGCACATCTGACCAGCTCCCGCTCCCGCTCCCATCAGGTGCTTGCTGCTCAGCTGAGAACAAATGAATGGACCCACAAACTCAGGTCCTTGGGCAGCAGTGTAGCCAGGGGTACAGAATGGCGCCCGGAAGGGGCAGGTGAACTTGTAGTGTGACGGCGGAGGCAACACCCAGCTGGGAACCGAGCCCGTGAGGGGCTTTGCCAGTGCTGTGCATGTGGCAAACGCTGCTTCTCAGGGTCCTCCCTATTGGTAAGAAGGGGCACCACTACCTACCTCCCAGGGACACAGATGTGACGCCCTTGGTCACGAGCTCACTGGATGGATGAGTAGACTGGCCCATCCTCATCGGCCTGTGCAGGGCCTGGTGCCGCCAGTGCCCCCCGATTGCTTCTGGGCAGAAGCCCTGACCTAGGCCAGGATCTTTATCCTGGTTGGTTCTGTGGTCTTGGGGAGGCCCCAAGCCTGTGTCCGGGCTTTGCCTTCCCGAGGAGGGAGGTGCCTGGGGCCATCCCTAACAGTCCTTTTGTCTGTAACCCTGGAATTTACAGTGGCAGTCTCGCAACCACTCCGGGCAGACGAGGAAACAGGCTGCGGAGGGTCTTAACCCAGAGTCCTCACTGGATCAGCAGCGGCAGAGCTCCCGGGGGGACGACGAGGTGCTGCTGCTGGGCAGCGAGCTAACCTGGCCCGGCCTGTACCCGCTCGTGCCCCAGCCCTACTCACTGGGTTTGATGGACTCCAGGGGCACAGTGATGCTGGCCAGGGAGAGCTCAGTCTGTGTGGGCTGCTGCGGAGGCCCGGGGGGCTCGGGGGACACGGTGTGGAGGCTGGCGGCACCGGAGCGGGGTGAGCTGCAGCTGCTTTTATTCTGCAGGTCCCGGAGTGTGAGCCGGGGGGCTGGCTGCTGCTTCTCCCTTATTGGGGGACGATGTATTGAGAGGTGACTCTTTGGTGACCAGAGATCAGGGGCAAAAGAAAGGCTGAATTTCCTGACTGCCCCTGACACCTTCCTGTCTCTGGCCCGTTTCCTCACCTTGAAATGGGTAGCTCTTTCTCTCCTTTCCCCCTGCCCCTGCCCCCTGGGCTCAGCGTCGTCCTCAGTGTTGGCCTTCCCTGTTTCTCAGGTGCCGGGATGCCTGGGGGAGGGCGCGGGAGTGGGGCAGCCCCCTTCTCTCCTAACGCCATGCTCTGTGGGATGGTCCGGCACCTCCCTCGAGCCCAGTGCAGTGCTTGGCACACGGTAGTGCTCCCACGAATGACCGTTCCCTGCTAGGTCTGGGCCAGGGAAACCTACGTTTGTGGGGACAGGGAGGGCTCCCCCCATGCCAGCTCGGACGTGCCCTCACCACCGCACTTGCTGGGACTCCGGGGGCAGCGACTGCTGCAGCAGGGTCTTCCCCAGGAGGTCCAGGTCATCCAGACCACTGCTCGCTGGCAGGGAGGTCTGTGTAGGGGGCCAGCTGTCCATGCTGGGTGCCGGAGTGGGGGCTGGGGGCTCGGTGCCATCAGATGACTGTTGGGCATACAAAGATGCAGGTGGGTGAGGCTGTGCTGAAAAGACGTCCTCTGTCCTGTGCTGAAAAGGAGGCCCCTTCCCCTCCCTGCAGGTGACATCTGGGGAAGAAGCAGCAGGGATGGGGACCACATTCCTGCCAGGCCCGACCCCTCACCCCAGGGCCATTAGTGGGTCAGGCCTGGTCTGGGTTCTACTCTAGAATCCATTACATTCCAGGGACCTCAAAATCACCCTGAAGGGTAAAGGAATAAGGAACCCCCATCTCAACCCTAGGGAGGCCCAAGGCTGAGCCTGGCAGGGGCACCTGGAGGCGAGGCCCTGCTGCCCCTCTGCCCTCCCTGCCCTGCTCCTCCCGCCCCTCGCACTGCTCCCTTGGGCTGCCTGTCCCAGTCGCTCTGCTGCCAGGACGGGCAGGCTAGGCCTGGCCCCTCCTACCTGGAAGCTGTTCCATCCAGCACCATCCAAGCTTGGGCCTGAAGGGGGTGTGGGGTCACTCAGGCCTGTGGGGAAGCAAGGCAGAGATCAGCGAGCTGGGCCGGAGAACGAGGCTGCTGTGTGCTATGCTGGGTCCCTGCTCCTGCCCTCTCCCTGAAGCCCTTCCTGAGGCTGGCTCACGGGGAAAAGTCCCGCTCGGCACTTTCAGAGGGAACAGCAGAGCAGAAATAGGAAGCAGAAACCCCGATAGCCTCTCCCTGTCCACACGTGCTTCCTCTGCTGCTCCTCAGGAGCCAACGCGACCAGTGTCAGGACTTTTGCTTCATCCGCCAGCTGGCAGCAGCCGATGGAGGGCGTGTGCAGGGTGTGAGGCACCACGTGAGGTTCCTCAGCTCGCAGATCCAGATGGGCAGGGTTAGCATCCTGCCAACGACCGACTGGATGGATGCAGTCTGAGTGTCCGAGGCTGGGGTGCAGTGAGCGGGGCCCTTGGCCCAGGCCTGCCCCAGAATCGGAGTGGCCACGGCAAGGTGCTGGCTGGGCAGCAGTGGCCCCTGTGCACAGTGCAGGTGGGCTGGGGCCGACTGACTTACCTGCCCTGGCATGTGCCAGCAAGGCTGGCTGGCTGATGCCAGAGGCGGCGGGCCCCTAGGAAGGCTGCTGATCGGCAGAGGGCAGCCAGTGAGGACCAGTTTGACCTCTGCCTGCCCTGAAGCACACCCCAGCCACGTCCCCCAGGTTTTACCGAGAGAAGACAGGGCATCCTGTTTCCAGCAAATCCCAAGCAAGGGGGTGCCGGCCGGCAGTGCCACGAGACAGGCCAAGGCAGGCCACAGGACGCTGCCATCGGGTCTCTACCTCGGGACACACTTCTCTGATACCATGGATAGCACAGCAGTTACTGCCGACATTTCTTACAGCCCCTGATGTGCCAGGCACTTCAGACGTGGGTCCCACTTAATCCTCAAGAGACCTTACAAGGCAGGAATGTAGTCCCCATCCTTCTTTTTATCCTCACCCAAGGACATTTTCCATTTTTTGTTCAGATAGAGTGGGAGGGGGAGAGAGAAAGAGAGAGGGAGAGAGAAAAATCGACGTGAAAGGGACACATCGAGTGGCTACCACCCGGGGCTGGGGACAAACTGCAACTGAGGTACATGCCCTTAGGGGAACCGAACCCGGGTCTCTTTGGACCACAGGCCGACATTCTAACCACTGAGCCAAACCGGCCAGAGCCCCATCCCTCTTACAGGGATGAGAAAACAGATGCTCAGAAGGGTTAACCTGTCCACGGTCACAGAGCTGAAAAGTGGCAGAGTCTGGACTTGGACAGAGTGTGGCCTAATTGGTGGACTCTGAATACAGCTCTGCCACTTAGCTGTGTGGCCCCCGGCTGGTGACAACCTCTCTGTGCCCCATCTATGACAAAGACAGTAGCAGCACCCACATCAGAGGATGTTAGAATAAAGGAGACAGACCAGATGGTGTCTGAGCAGGGCCCCGCTCTGACATAAAGTCCTCACTGCCCACCCCGCCCCACCCCTCACCCCTCCTGCCGCAGAGGACGGGTTAGGAAGGCCCCCTCTGTGGTCCTCAGGCTTCCTCTACTCCCCCGTGCTGGGCCGGCGCTGCCCTGGCACTGCTGGGTCCTGCTCCCACATTTTCTTTGCGTTGGAGAAGAAACCAGAGGAAGCTGGAGGCTCTCTGAAGTGACACGGGGACAGGAAGTGCACAGCACACCTCGCTTCTTGGGAGGAGGTGGCTTTGCCACAGCCACTCCCTGGGGGGCAGGGCGAACGCCAGTCAGGTAGCTGCTGCCCAGTCCTGCTCTGGGGGAGAGGAGCTGCGTGCGCTCTGTCACTGCCCCGTCACTGCCCTGTGTGCCGGGCCCCTGCCTGCTGGCCCTGGCTCGGTGCGGGCAGGTGGATGTGTAGCCACCCTGTGGGCAGACCCCTAGGAAGGGTGCGGCTGCCATGCCCGGAGGAGCACTGACCCGGCCCACTGTCCCCATCGCACTCCTCCCTTTCCTGGCTGGGCACTGGGTCAGGGCCGCAGGAGGCCGAGCGAGGCTTCCGAATCGGAGTGCCTCGTCTGAACCTGTCCGAACCCGGCACTCTGGGCACCAGGGTGCTGACAGCGCGGCCTTGCTGGGCAGGGAGGCGGTCTGGGGTGCAACCGCCGCGGCGTGGTCAGGCAGCGCACTGAAGCCCGGCACCATCGCTTCGAGTCGGCCAGGTTTGGTTTTCGGCTCAGAACAGTCTGACTCTTGCTTCCAAGTTAGTTTCCAAGAGACCCTTCGAGGTTCCTTTGACAGAGCCCGAGCACGTCTGTTTGTGTGACTTCAGGGCACCACGAGGAGGCTGCCACTATATTCTCCTGCTTCTATGCTCTGAAAGCTGGAGACCTCCAAACCACCTGGCCCAGGGGTGAGCCCAGTTCCGTCAGGCTCCGGAGCCCTGACCCCGCCTCGTGTTGACTCAGGGCTGGCCCGGGACCAGCCTGGGTCACGGAGCGTGGTGTGCTCTGGTGCAAGCACCGTGGAGCTTCTGGGCGCCGCGGAGGGGGCTCTCCCTGCTTCCGCGGAGCGTGGGGAGCCCGCTGAACTTCTGCCTGGGCAGCCTCCAGTTCTAGCTCTAACCGGCTGCAGGGAAATCTGTTTGCCCTCGGAGACTGGGTGCTGCTGGCTTATCAGGTTCAGGTCTGGCCAGTCTCACCCTCTATTTGGCCTTGCACAAGCTCCTTGATTTCCCGGAGCCTCTGCTTCCTGTCTGTGAAATGGATCCAAGCCCATCCCCCATGCTCCACAGCACTCGAGGGAGGAAGAGTAACACGCTGACCTGACCAGGCTCTGCGAGCAGCAGGTGAGCTGTGGGCACCACCCTGCCTGCAACTGAGCCCGCCCTCCTCTGGGCCTGGCCCCGTCCTCACCCAGAGACATGAGCTCATCATCAAGCAGAGAAACAGAGGTGCTGGGCTGCTCAGCACTGGCCCGGTCGCCAGGGCAGGTGGGCATGGCTGGGTAGGTGGTGCCTGAAGGAGGGAGATCAAGGCCTGAGAGGTCCAACAGGGCTGAGGTGCTCCCTGGGGTGGGAAAGGAGAGTCAGGCAAGTCCTGGGAAAGGACACTCAGATTCTCAGAGTCCATGGGGGTGAAGGGGCAGCAAACTGTCCCCCCACCTGTCACAACTCTCCTGCTTCCCCCTCCTTGGCCACATGGCCCTTGCCCCTAAAATCTGCCCACCGAGCTCTCTTTAACACATGCTGTTCCTCCTGTCTGGACGGCTCTGCTACTTCCCCTTGGTGAACTGCCCCCTACCCTTCAAGGCCCTGCTTAAACTCTGCTGCTTCTGCGCAGTGCCCCAACCCCACCTCTCCCCAAAAGAGCCAATTCTAACCTCATCTGTGGTTCCCGGAGCTGTCATTTATCCCCCTGAAGAAGCCTGAATGCATGTGTTGAACCCTCCCTACCACCTGATAGTCACACTACGCCTTGGGGGTGCCAACCAGCCCTGCACAATAGGTGCCCGATGTGTCAAACCCTCGGCTCCCTCCTCCTTTGTTCCACATCTAGACTTTCGCCCCCTAAAGGGGGCAGGCTTGGCACATTCTCCCTGGGGGCCATCCCCGTCTTAAGGGGCCAGGGTCACCCTGGCAGTCACTGCTATCAGCTCTGGGATCAGTGCACCACCCTGGACTCTCTGCACCCCTCTTGCCTGGTGGGCCCCACCCCAGCTCTCCTGCCACCTGCTTACCAGGGATGGAGGCGGCTGCGGCATCACCGTTGACCTCCTCACCCCGCACCAGCTGCTTGTACAGGTTGATCACCTGGGTGAGGTTGTCGTTGGCCTGCAGGATCTCCGCTGGAATGGGCAGGAGGGGAGAGGCCAGTGTGAAGGAATGTGGGGGCCTCTGTGGGAGATGAGCACCTCACATCCATCCCAGCCCCCGAGAGGGGGTGGGGCAGTGGGCATGCCATCTACTCAGACTTAGGCTCTCGGTTCCCCCTTGTCCACTGTTTCCACCACACTGCCCCGTGTCAGCCCCTGAACACAGCGCATGCTCCAGGTCTCCACGTGGCTCTGCTGTGCAGATACGCCCCAGATCTCTGCATGGCTTCATCCCTTCCGCCTTCAGGTCTTCATCCACAGGGCACTTTGGGGAGGCCTTCTCTAATCCCAAGCCTGCACTATGCGGTCCCCTCCCTGCTTGCTTTTTCATGACACTTAGCACTACCCGACAAACTGCCACTGTTCACGTCCCGGGTTTACATTCTATCTCCTCGCATTAGGCTACAAGTTCCAGAAGGTTATGGCTTTTGTCAACTGTAATCACTGCCATATCCCTGAGGGCCTAGAACAGGGTCCGGCACACACTAGGCCCTCATTGATGTCATCTCTTGGGTAGGGACCAGGACCCTGGTCCGCGGGAGGTTGCTAAGTGAGCTCCTGTTGAATGAGGAGCTGAGATGGTACCCAGACCACTGCCCAAGAGGCCCTGTCGATGTGGTAGCAGAGAGCAGGACAAGAACCTGAGGTGTGGCCCTAGCAGAAGCCACAGGGCCCAGCTCTGGAACTGCCCTGGCCTGTGGGACACGCTCTTAGTTTGTAGCCCCTACCAGGGAGGCAGTGTCTGCAGGGAGCCCTGCTCCACCCTGGTTCTGCCACTGTTCTGCTCTGCGATCCTGACAAATCACTCCCCTCCCTTAGCACCAGCTGTGAAATGGGAACAACTTCCCTCCTGCGCAGCTGTGGGCAGTAAATGAGGTATCTGTGAAGGGGCTTGGCCCAGAGGGTCTCTCAACCACGTCAGACCTACTCTGCTTCCTTTTCAAGTCTGAGAAACCTAAGGTTGGTGCTGGGGAAAGGGGCCCCCTGGTGGTGGCTCCTGACAACTGTGGGTACTCAGCAGGGCCTGGGAGAGGTGGGGAAAGGTGGGGGGACCAGACAGCCCCGCCTGGGGCTCACCTAAGGCCTCGTCATTGTCCTCTGTGTCACTGGCCAGTCGGAAAAGTGTGGGCCGCATCCGCTCACAGCGCTGGTACAGTTCCTGGGGGCAGCAGGGCGGGCAGGTCAGGGCCAGCAGGGCCCGGAGTGGACTGGGGCAGGGTGGAGACGGGCGCACCTTCATGAGGTCCTCGCTGCTGTGGGCCGCAGCGCCACCCTGGCTGTGGCTCATCACCATCTCCGTCAGCAGTTTCACATTGTTGTTCACCTCCTCAATGGCACTCACCCGCTTCGAGATCTTCTCCATCCGCTTCTGGTCCTAGGGAGGGATTGGAATGCCCCTGAAAGCCTGGGTGAGGCCCAGGCCCAGCCAAGCACTGCCCACACCACTCTGTTCTGTGTCTGCTGGCTGGCTGGCAGACACTGCTAAGAGCCCCTCATGTCCAAGGTAGGGCACTCTGGTCCAAGAAGCCCTCGGCCAACCCTGCCCATTTCCTCTCCTCCTGCTAACGTTCCCTGGACCCAGGCCTCTGCACGGGACCGTAAGAACTTCCTGGGCCCTCAGTCAGAGTCTCCAGGGACGGCCCAGGAATCGGGGTTTCTCACACACTTGCCAGGTGATTCTGGAGGACCAGGGCCCAGACCCACACCTGCAGTCTACATGAGCCTTGCCGTCCTCGTGTTTGTCCCTTGAAAGGAGATTCCCGTACTTGAGAATGAAAGACCTTGGTGGTCACCAAGTGCAACCTAGAAACTAGTGCAGTGACCCCTCTCAATGTTGTTAGTGCCTGGCAAACAGTGGGGCACTCATGGCCTTGAAAGGCCACTGCAGGAAGTGCCCCTGCTACCCAGGCCAACTTTTCTTACTATACGTTTCTCCCTCGTGGAGTGAAAGGTGGGCTTGTGGTGTGCCGTCTGCTACATCACCCTACTTGCAAGGGGCCACCCCTGACTTCCTCTTGGCTGGCAGAGCACGCAGCTTGTCTTGAAGAGACAACCCAGCCCTGGCCAGTGTTGGTCAGTGGTTAGAGCAATGGCCCATGTACGAAGAGGCGTGGGTTCAATTTCTGGCTAAGGGTACGTACCTGGATTACAGGTTCAATCCCTGGCCTGGGTCAGGGTGCGTGTGGGAAGCAACCAATTGATGTGTCTTTCTCATATTGATGTCTCTCTCTCTCTTTTCCCCCGTCTCCCTCCCTTCCACTCTCTCTAAAACTTGATGGAAGATATCCTCAGGCCCTGGCCGGTTTGGCTCAACAGTTAGAGCGTTGGCCTGCAGATCAAAGGGTCGTAGGTTTGATTCTCGGTCAAGGGCACATGCCTGGGTTGCAGGTTTGATCCCTGGCCCCAGTGGGGTCCTACAGGAAGCAACCAATCGATGTGTCTCTCTCACACTGAGATCTCTCTCTCTCTCTCCCCCCTCTTCCATTCTATCTAAAAAAAAAAAAAATCAATGGAAAATGTCCTCGGGTGAGGATTAACAAAACAAAACAAAAAGATATCCTCAGGTGAGGATTAAACAAACAAAAAAAAGAGACAACTCAGAACTTCTGCCCCCTGGGTCTCTAGACTACAACATTTTTGATGACTTACTTTCATCAATAAAAAAGTTTCATGCCCATCCAGTATGGCTCAGTGGCTGAGCATCAACCCATGCACCAAGATGTCGCTGGTTCAATTCCTGGTCAGGGCACATGCCCAGGTTGTGGGCCCGATCCCCAGTGGGGGACATGCAGGAGGTGGCCAATCGATGTTCTCTCTCATTGATGTTTCCATTTCTTTCTCTCTCCCTCTCCCTTCCTCTCTCTCTAAAATTAATAAAGAAAAAATTTTTTCAACTTACAATGAATTTATTGGGATGTAACCCATTGTACATCAAAGAGCATCTGTATTTATTTATAAATTAAATATACATTATTCTCTCATGCACACACATTCATGCGCACATGCACACACATACACACTGGCGCTCTCTCTCTCTAAATATAGTAAAGCCTAATTTATTTCTAATTTTTATGGAAAAGATAGTGTAGCAGAAGCCCATCCGTCCAGAGCAGATGAACTTGCCTGCTGGGAAATTCTTCCCTCTACACGATGGTCCTGGCTCACTAGAGAATTCTTTGTCTGCACACGTACAACACCATGCTGGCAGCCCAGCTCAACGTCCCCATCCCACCTCCTCCCTGTGCTCTGGGCTCGGTCATCACCTCTTGCACCATCTCCTTGATGAGCTTGTTGGCCGCTCGGAGGTCTTCGGGATGGGAGCTCTTCAGTAGGCGGGCCAGCATCTGTGAAGACACAGGGGCATGACCATGATGCCAGAACCTGGACCTGCGGTCACGTGCTGGCTCCCCACTTCCTGGCTGTGGGATATGTTATCTAAGCTCTCTGTGAAATGGCGAGAATCTGCCAACACCTGAAAGGTGGCCACGGGACAACGGAGACACTGCACATAAATGGTCCCCCGCAGCGCCAGGCAGAAATAAGTTCTAACAAATGGTGCAAAACATTCTATTACTACCGTCAGAGACCCTCTCTGGAAGGATGTACAAGAAATGTAACAGTGGTTACCCTCTGGGACTGAACCGGGTAGACAGGAGCTTTTACTTTTTATTTTTGTTATTTTTTAATCCTCACTTGAGGATATTTTTCCATTGATTTTTTCAGATAGAGTGGGAGAGGGGGAGAGAGAAAAACACATGGATTGGCTGCCTCCCACATGTCCCTGACTGGAGCCAGGGACTGAACCTACAACCGAAGTAGGTGCCCTTGACCAGGAACAGAACCAAGACTCTCTGGTCTGAGGGCTGAGCCAAACCGGCCATGGCAGCCTTTACTGTTTATCTTATCTCTTTCTGTGTTGTTTAATTTCTTGATCATGAACACATACTTCTTTTACAAAGACACCTTACCGTTCAAAGACATAAAGCTATGCAAATTCCTGGGCAACCTATGAAATGTCCTCAAACCAACCCCAGGGACACCAGACACTGTCCTGTGTTTATGAAACGCAGGGGCACTGTATGCAGAGGACTCGGCACGCAGAAGCGCTCAACAACCAGTGCCTGTCACTCACTACAGTGGCCATGCTCACCTTGAGCCTCTGCTCCAAAGGCAGGGCAGCCAGGGGCTGGAGTTCACTGACTCCCAAGTGGGCTCTGGGGCCCTCATCTACCTCTTCTTGGAGCCTCACCTTGGATTTCTCCTCATCTTCAAAGATCACATTCTTGGGCCGTGGAGGAGGATGGGGAAAGACGGCATCATCTGGAAGCTTGGGGTCGGACTTCACTATCCCTAGAGTGGATGGGTGGTGAGAAGGCTGTCAAAAGGCCAGGCCAGGGGCAGGGGTGAGATGGGGACATGGCCAGGTAAGCGCAGAAAGGAAGGTGGCGGGCAGTCTTTCTCCAGCATGCTGGCTCTGGACTTTGGGGGGCCAGGGCCTGCTCCTGACCTATCATGTTGGAGCTGCGTGGGGGAGTTTGGGCCCCTATATTTTGAGGCCATTCCATAGCATGGGAGCCACTCTCTGAGGGGAAGCCTGACCCAAACCCACCTTCTCTCCACCCAAGCTAGCCTTAGGCAGAGCAACAAAAAGCCCTCACTGGCCAGATGTTCCTGGGATGTTAAAGGGCAGACCCATGACCTTGCTGCGAGAGCCCAAGTTGCCGAAGCCCAGCTCAGGGAGGGGACGAGCCTGGCCACCTGGCTCTGGCACCTCACCCTGCTTCTTGAGCATCTGGTAGGCCTCGGTGATCTTCACTTCCTCGGGCAGGCCGACCGTCCAGCTGTAGAGGAGCTCTAAGATCTTGTTCTTCACCTTCTCTGATGTCCGAGAGCCCAGGTACTTCAAGGACCAAAGGGGAGGGAAGGCCCTTGACATTGGCTGGCCCCACTCACCTCACTGTAACCCCAACCCCGCCCCAATCTGGCTGTCTCCCCAGATCGCCCTCGGAACCCTGGCCTCTACGGCCCCCACATCCCACCCAACCAGCCTGATACAGATGGAGCTCACCTCCTAGCTCCACCACTCACTAGCTGTGCCAACACTGTGTGCCTCAGCTTCCCACTGTGAAGCGTGGATGATAACATGGAACCACAGTGAGGATGCAGAGCTGACACACTAAGGCACAGAGCCCAGTGCCTGCTCGTGTAAGGCTTAACTCCGTGACCTCAGGAAGGAGGAGCCACCGGGCTGACCAGGGCAGGGGCAGTCATGGCAATGTTTGGCCCTGGGCCCCCTTCAACCCCAGCAGTAATCTAGGCTGAGCAGACTGGCTCTCACAACAGCCACCTCTGGGAGAATGGGGGGCCAGGTGGTCAGGTCAGGTCTGAGTGAGGAAGGGCGACCCAAGGGGCACCGAACATGGTCATGACCTATGGGAGGACTCCTCAGGCCGAGCTGAGGGCGTGGCCCATCTGGAGCCCAGCAGGCTCCATCACTCTAGTTTGGGGTCTCAGCATCCAAGGCCTCAAGGGAGCTACTCTTGTGAGGTGGGGTCAGGGAGACCCTCCACTACAGACCCAGAGGCCCAGGTGGGGCATCAGCCGGGTGTGCAGGGAGATGAGCCAGAGCAGCCGGTGCTGGGGCAGCTGTGTGCACTCTCTGCAACTGCCCCTCCCTCCAGGGCCGCCAGGGCCGGATGCCACCTGTCAATGGAAGCGCTCTTCCTAGAGATCCGCTGTCCCAGATGCAGCAGTGTGAAGGGGGGCTGAGGCAGTAGTAGGAGTGAGAGCCCCAGTAGGAGGTCCCAGGATGAGGTACAGTCTGTCACCCCATCTGACTGTGCAGGTCTGAGCCTGGGCTGGGAGCACCCACCTTGGGGGAAACAACCTTGATGAGCTCGTTGAGAAAGCGGAACTTGCCCACCTCGTCGTGGAACCTCTTGCCGCAGCTCTTCATACATGTCTCCAGCACCTGGGGAGGCAGGGGTGGGCCCCCGGGGAGGATCAGAGGAGGCAGCCTGCCTCCCATAAGCCCGGGGACAGGTACTGATAAGGGAGAAAGTAACCAGTGAGGACACAGGGATTCTGAGGTTCAGAGGCCTCCGAGACTGACCACGCCCGAGGATGCAGCCGGGCAAGGCCCAATGTGCAGCACCACCGCAGCGCCTCCGTGGCCCGGCCACATCTGAATACACCTGGAAATTACTTTCTTACTATATTCCTTTCAGTGTTTTTTAAAACTTGAATTGGCACCATCTACCTTAGCCTTATCCTAAGCTATATGTCTGTGAAGTCACAGGACTACTGTGTATTTGTGAAAAACAAAATACTTAACATGTTAAAATAAATACATAACTATTAAAAGAAAAACTGTGTACTACCATCCCCTAAAATCAGCGTGGCTATAGAGTCGGTCGCTATCTGACCCGTGCTCAGGCTCTCAGTGGACCCCGACTCTTCTGCTACTGGCACAGCTTGGGAACATCTGGCCTGAGCCCAGGCATCACTCCTTGTGCTCCCGTGGGAAGCACAGCACTGCCCGGTGTCGGGAGACCCCTGACGGGCTGACCTGGCTCTGCAGTGCACCTGGGAGCTTGGTAAACACGCAGATACCTGGTTGCAGGTAGCTCTGATTCAGCAGCTTTGGGGTGGGGCCCCGATTCAGTATGTTTGATCAGCCTCTTGGAGATCTGAGGCACACTTGGGGTGGGGAACCTCTGGACCAGATGGCCCTGGGGGATTTCCTCCCCACAAGAGACCTACCTGCACAGGGTCTGGGGTGGGAGGCCAGCCCACTGGTTGCCATGGGACCCTCAGGGACTGGCCCAGACACCCATTCTAGGCCATCTCGGCACACTACCTTGGGCTCTGAAGAGTCTGATGGGACCCCAAACACCTCAGTCTTGGCCTCCCCTGGTGCTGTCCATGTGGTTGGCGGATGGCAAGTACCCTCTCTCCCCTTCTCCTCACCGTCAGGGCCTGGATCGCCTCCCACTCCTGCGGGGACTGGATCTTGTGGGCCAATAGGCGGGTGGCAAGTGGAGGCCTGGGGGAGAGGAAGAGACAGAGCCAGAATAGCCCCAGAGCTCAGGTACCCAGGGGAGGGCTGCCTCACTACCCCGCTAGGGCTGTAGCCCTCAGTGGCTTCTGCAGGGCCGATGCAAAGGCCCAGCTCCCTCTCTGGACCGAGGACAGGGCTAGAGATTGTGACATGACCGGATAGGGCCAGGGTGGGCAGTCTGGGACCTTCAAAAGGCGTGAGCTCAGCTCCTTGGCCAGCTTTACTAAGAACTATGACCTGCCGTGTCCTTGGCTCAGCTTGGAGACAAATACAGAGAGATGACCACAGCCTTCAAGGGCCCAGTCTGAGAGCAGAACATGACAATGTACCAGGAGAGATGGGCAGACATAACTCCCTGGGAACTCCAGGACATTCTGCTGCAGGAAATCAGAGCAGCTTCATGGCAGAGGAAGTGATACTGTCCACCGGATCATAAAAGACCTGTCACTAGTGACAATAACAGTTAACATGTACTAACATGCTTATGATGGGCAAGGTGCTAACATGTACTGAGTGCTTATGATATGCAAGGTGCTACCATGTACTAACATGCTTATGATGTGCAAGGTGCCTCACAAGCATTTTCCTTCCTGAGGTGGGTGGCATACCAGCCCTCTGAGGTGGGTGGCACTATCGCCCCACTTTACAGTGGAAGGAGTGGAAACTCAGAGGCATTCAGTTACCTGCCCAACTAACCGAGGGGATGGGAGTCGCACCCAAGCAGCCCGACTCCAGAGCACACATATCATGCATGGCCTCCCTGAATGGAGAGCCTGCACTGGGGGAGGTATAGCACATTGAGCTGTGCTCCCCAAACTTTGGCACCACCCAGGGAACCCGCTAACATATCCACCCTAAGACCCCTGCTGGACAGTCTAGTCCAAGTCTGGTGACAGCTCCAAAATGTGCATTTTCACAAGCTGAGGACTACCATTTTCTCAATGTGGGATCTTGGGGCAACTGCTGAATCACCATAGCCTCAGTTTCTTTACCTGTAAAATGGGTCCAGCAAGCCCCACCTCAGAGGGTAGCTCATAAGCAGCACTCAGTACAGAGTGCCCACTACTGTTATTAATTTGTGAGCACATTAGCACGGGCCGGGTAGCTCAGTTGGTTAGAGCGTTGTCTGATATGCTAGGTTCCATGTTCGATTCCCGGTTAGGGCACACGCAAGAATCAACCAATGAGTGCATAAATAAGTGGAACAACAAATCGCTGATTCTCTTTCTCTCTCCCTAAATCAATCAATAAATAAGAAAATTAAAAAAAAATTTGTGAGTACATTAAGACTGGAAACGTCTCTGCCCGAGGCCTGTGTGGGGTGTGCACAGCGGGTTCAAAGTGGATTCTACTGAGCATGACCAAAAGAGGGAGAGTCCACCTACCCCTCAAAGTCCTCGTTGAGTTGCTCGCAGAAGCTGTTGATGCTGGCCCAGTCCAGCTCCTTGTTCAGGGGGTTTGTGGCTCTGTCTGTAGGAGGAGAGGGGCCAGTGTGGCCTAGGGAAGGGATCCCTGCCTCTCTCACTTCCCACCCCAGCAGCAGGGACTGGTCAGTAGGGGCAGGGTGTATGACTGAGCACACAACAAGGCCGGCTGCCACAGCCTCAGGACCTGAGTGCTGATGTTTCCGTCCCTTCCAAGGACAGAAGGAAGCCTGTCCACTGGCTTCCCCTTTCAGTTTCTCCCCGAAGGGCCCCACTTTTAGAGACTGTGCTCTGGGGTCATCCCCTACTTCCTATTGCCCCACCCCTACAGCTGCATGTCTGCCATGCCCGGCCACACCGCTGATTCTGTTCCTGGAAACAGCGTCCCCACGATTCTCATGAAATTTATGCTAGAGAAGATCCAGAGGTAGGGGAAACAAACCCATAGTTCCTCCCTCAAGGGTCTGCCTGGCTGGCAAGTGGGCCAAGGGAATTACGTTCTCAATACAATGGCACAGAAGGAGGCAAAGGAGCTACAGGACACAGAGGAGGGGACTCAGTTGAGCCCAGGGTCAGGAGAGGCTGCCTGGAAGAGGCAACACAAGCAGGGAGTGGAGGGAGTTACCCAGGTTGGGTATGCAAGCCTCTGAACAGCTCAAGGGCGGTGTGAGAAGAGATGTAGATAACTGAGCACAAGGCAGAGCATGGAGGGCCTTGTAAGGAGTATGGCTTAGGTATCACCTCCTCCAGGAAGTCTTGGCTAACTTCCATTCATGCCCAAGTTGGTACTGCTGCATCGGCTCTTTCTTCTGTGTCCCTCAGACCTGACCTTCACCGTGGGCTCAAGCCTGCTGCTGCACTGCATCCAGCTACATGCCCATCTCCCCGGTAAACGAATGAATGAATGAGGACTCAGCCGTGGGCAGGCAGGAATGGTAAGGAGGGGGTGGTAAACAAGGCCACAGTCACCTCCCTTACCTCCAGCACTGGTTAAACAACAACCAAGTGGGTCACAGAAGTTCCCCAAACCTCTGTTTCCCCACTTGTAAAGTTGAATCGAAACATGGACTGATCTGGGATGCCAAGATACTCTACACAGAATGAAGTTGTGGGGCAGCCAGAGACAGATCTTCACTCCTTTCCCAGAGTCTGTTTCCAAGCTTCACCCTGTCCTGACCAGTTCTGCCCAAGCCTAAGCACTGGGCCAGAGCTGCGGAGGGAACACGGCCCAGGAGGTGGGACAGAGAAGGATCTGTAGACAGGCTGGAGACCCAGCACACGGCAGCTGCCCAGTTGGGGTCCTATGCTGTGGCGGGTGGCCTGGAGCCCTGGGAGCCTAGTGCCTGGGCGCCATTCATTCAATTCATATTTATTCAATAAATATTCTGAATGCTGGAGCCCTGGCAGTGAACATGAGAAAATCCCTGCTTTCCTGGAGCTCACAGTCCAGCCAGAGACACACTGACTACTCACATAAACAAACTCACACGGAATACTATATACTGTTGTGACGTGCTATAAAGAAACACAGAGCAAGGAGAAGACATAGAAAGTGTTGGGGGTGGGGGAAAGCTACCCTCTGGTACAGCTGAGCAGAAAACTGAATAAAGCATTTTTTCGCTGGATGGTGTGGTTCTGGGGCTAATTTCAGGGTTTAACTCTGTTCACCCTGAACCCGAGTAGTTCCCTGCTGGACACGGGACCAACACTAGCCTGGGTACAAATCTCTGTTCCAGGAGCCCTGCCGAGCCCTTCAGTCCCGCAGAGAAATAAAGCCTGGCTGACAATCCAGGGTACCAGGAAGAGGCACCCCCCCTAAGTGTGGTCGTCTCTTCTGCCTCCTAGCCCCCCAACACGGTCAGAGGCTGGGGAACACCAGTCTGAGGTTAGAAAGAATGGGGCTGAACATTACCTTCTCATTAATACCCGGCTGGGGGACCCTAAAACAGGAAGTCCCTTCAAGTGTCAAAGACATGTGAGTGTGAGTGTGGACAGAAAGGCTGGTCCTAGAGATGGCTCCTGAGTCAGAAGCCAGTGAGGAAACGATGCAATCATGAGAAACCAGCTTCCTCCCCTGCAGCTTTCTGAGTGAGGGCCTCTGGGTTCAAGGAGAGCTGACCAACTTCTCTGGTCCTGGCTCCAGCCCCCAGGCCTCTTGGGGCGGGGGGCACCTTCCCTGGCAGGCAGCAGAGGACACACCTCCAGGGAGGTGTTTGACAACAGGGCATGACTTTATCCTGTCACTCCACAGTGGTGATAAATGTCATCATTTACCCATCAGAAGCTACTTTTTACCTCTAATCACCCCAAAAGAAGAGCTTACAATTTTGCTAGGACACAAAGGTGAAGGAAAAGAGAAAAATGGTGTCAGTTCCAATTTACTGGGGTCCAGCCCATTGCCAAACCCAGGTGTCCTGACTCCTCTGTTTCTCAGATCACTCTTTGGCCTCCCAGCAAATCCCCATTGTTGCTAAACCTGACACTGTTTTGTATCATCCAGACCTCCAGTCCTTCAGCCTGTCACATCTGTCAGCCAGGGCCCTGCCCATCCCCCCAAGTTGCTGCTGAGACCTGGACACTTGTGGCGTTGTGAAACAGTCTCAATGGTTGCTGAGTGCCCCCCCCCCCCGGACACTGAAACACCCCTGGAGATGGTGTGGTTCTGGGGCTAACCTCAGGGTTCAACTCTGTTCACTCCGAACCCGAGTAGCTCCCTGCTGGACATGGGACCAACACTAGCCCGGGGAGAAGCAAGCCACAGCGTTCTGGGGCAGAGTCCAGGAGAGGGGTTGTGAGAGGGGTTGTGAGAGCCAAGAATGCAGCAATGTAGGGTAGAGAGCTCGGGTGGCGTGTGAGGGCTCAGACGCTTGAGTAGTAGGAAGCAGTGTCAGAAGATTCACTGTTCTGAGAAAGGGGTGCAGGGACCTTTGGAGGAAGTTCAACAAGGGCTGGGAAAGACGACTTGGGAGTCTGAGGGGCTGGGCTGAGGCTAGTGATGGCAAACGTGAGATTACTTCTGGAATTCCAGTTGGGTCCTTTCAAGCCTGTAGGCTTTGGGGGTTTCTTACTGGGGCCCGAGCTTGGGGGATCAGATGAATCAGTGCGTCCTCCCTTCCTGGGCGGGGGAAGGAGCAAGCCCGAGAGAAGTTGCAAGCTCAAGCAAGGGACAGGAGGGGGTAAGGACATGCAGGGCCGGAGAGCGGAGGATTCGGATCCCAAAGGCAGCAGGGTCCCTCCCTCCCGGGCCTGAGGCAGCCCTGCGCCCGCCTGCTCCCTTCCGGGGCCCAAGGGGATGACTTGGGCGGGGGTCCGCTCCTCGGTGGAGCAGTCTGGGCCTGAGGGGGTCAGAGGCTGCTCTCTTCGTCCCGGGGCTTCTGGGCACAGAGTCGGGCGCAGCTCACTCTCCCCCGAGGGTCGCCGCCCAGGGGTCGGACGGGAGGTCCACCCAGCTGGTGGGGTCTTACTTCACTCCAGGGTCGGAAAAGCCGGCTCGGGGCACCGCCCCTCCCGGGCCCGGGGCGGGGCGTGAGGAGGGGGCGTCCCGTACCCCGCCCCCGCTGGGAAGGGGCCCGCCTCGTGCCCCCGGTTCCGGTTCCGGCCCGGCCCGCGCCCCTCCCGGACACTCACTGATTCGCGCCTCCAGAGTCTCCGGCTCCATCTCGGGCTCCATCTGCCACGGGCCCCCAGCCTCGGCACCGCCCCCCGCCCCCTCCGTTCTCGCGGGACCTCCTCGGCACCGCCCTCCGCCGATTAAAGGGGCGACGCGCGGGAGCGGCGCACGCGAGCGCTCGGTAGCATAGAGAGGCGCACGGGCTCGCCCAGAGCGTCGCCTGCGCTCCTAACCCCTCCCCCGAGCGGCGTGTACGTCGCGGGCGGGGCCCGCCGCCGGCCTTCTCGTACGCGGTGCTCAGGCGGGAGAGAAAGCGGAGAAAGTGGGGGCCGAGGGCGGCACCATGGAAACCCCACGGGACGCTCTAACTCGTTCTGCGTCACGGAGACGCCAGTGACCGCGTCCCAAAGAACGCTCCGCCGCCATATTTCTGAGGGGCTCCGAGGTCACTTCCGGGGTCTGAAGTCACGCCCGGCGCCCCGAGCGTGTACTTCCGTTTAGTTGCCGAAGTGGGCGGGTCCCTGACAAGGGCAATGACGTTCGTGGGTTTCCGTGAGCGCCGCCGAGTCCAAGCTCGTCGGCTGCTTACAACGGTCCGGGCGTTGTTCAGCACTTTTGCACCTTCATGCATCTGCTTTCCCCGACAAACCCGTGGAGCAGACAGGCGCCCGAGTCGCACGGTGGCGGAGCCGGAGCCCTGCTGCCTCCTGCGTTCAGCCTGCGATCATCTACTGCAATGTGCCTTTTCTTTTTTCTTGTGTAAGCTACGTAGGAGGCGTCACAGGTGGTGACAAAGTCAGGCTTTTGTTTAGAGAGGTCCGGACGGCCACAGTGGGCGGACGAGGCTGGTGGGGACCGGTCTGGAATCAGGAAGGGCGGAATGACAGACTGCCCAGCCGCGGGGCCTTTTCTCCCTCCGTCGACGAGCCCACCCGCGGCCGGGGTCGCCAGTGACGTCACGCCCAGGGGGAATCCGGTGCCTGGCTCACCTGGCTCGACTGCAATCGGTCGGTCCCTGGCGGCCCACCCGGGGACCGGCCCGTGGCGCCCTCTTCAGCCTCCCTGTGCTGGGGAGGGTTAAGCGCGAGGGAGACCAGAGAGACTGGCGAATCCTGTTCTGCTAGGCTGTGGCCTTTCCAACGACCTCCAGTCACCCTGCAGAACGGCAGTGACCTCGTCTGGGAGATGGGAGGGTTGTGTTGGGTCAGTTTTTTCCCTAAACTCTACCCGTTCAGCTGACTGGGACGGTTTTCTCAATTCTCCTCCTCAGGCCACTGAAGTTAGACAGGAAAGTGACATGTGTGTTTATTGCATTTCTCAATACAAGTTGCAGCATAATACGAACTTAGAGTTCTTTTATTTTGTTTATTTTATCATTGAAGTGAATTATTAGAGAAATAAAACCACCACATATACCACATTGGATTGGGGCATAAACACGCCGTCAGGAGTCACTTTTTGAAGATAGCATAGATTTGATTTCACCTGGGTTCAAATTCTGCCTTCACTGCTTTCTAAATTATATGGCCCAGGGCAAGTCACTCTGCCCTGTTTCTCAGGCTTCTCATCTGAAACTTGGCTGTGAGAATTCAATGAGGGGGTGTCTGCAAAGTGAAGCCCCCAACACACAATCCCTGCTCACTCTGTCTGCTGAACTTTTCTCCTTGGCATTTTTTATTTATTTATTTTTTAATTCCTCACCCGAAGATACTTTTCTGTTTATCATCAGATTGAGAGGGAGAGAGAAAGAGAGAGAGAGACAGAGAGAAACATTGATGTGATAGAGCCACATCGACTGGTTGCCTCCTGCACGACCCAACCAGGGCCGGGGACAAACTGCAACCAAGGTATGTACCCTTGGCCGGAATCGAACCCAAGACTCTTTGGTCCATGGGCCGATGCTCTAAACACTGGGCCAAACCGGCCAGGGCTCTCTCCTTGGCATTTATCTTCACCTTTCCTCTTTGGGTATTTTGTCTTTGTTCCCCACCAGAATGTAAGCTCCACGAGGTCAAGGCATTTCATCTGTTTGGTTCACTGGTGCATCCCCAAAGCTTGAAAGAGTACCTGGCATATAGTAGGTGTTTAATAAACATGCACTGAATAAATGAATGAGGTAGAAACAATTATTCATAAGTTTTATGGGTAGAGAGGTGCAGGAATGTGCCCAACAGTGCACAGTGTGTGTGCATGTGTGTGCACACACACTCTAGGTTGTGCTCTTAACCCAGGCTCTAGGCTGTGCCTCAGGGAAACCTAGAGAACAGGGAGTGGTGAAGGAGACTCCCCGGCACAGCCACAGGTAGGGCCTGGCCCAGACTGGGAGTCGGTAGAAGGTGTGGAAGGAGGAACCCGAGGATGGTGAAAGGAAGGAGGACCAACACAGGAAAAAGGAAGTACAGGAATTTGGCTTGTGGCCCCTGTTCCCATCTCCACCACTGGCCAATGTATTGCTCTGAGTGACTTGGGAACCCCTGGGAAGAGAGGGGCGAGTAAAGCTGAGCTGTCCTTGAGCAGCTGTCATCAGCTGACCCATGCTGACCTCCAGTGGTGTAACGCCTGGACTTTGCCAGGAAAACCCCTCCGCTGCTGGTAAGGATGGGTGGAGGAGGAGGAAGAGGAGATGGCGAAAGAGCTTGGAGCAGTGCTCTGCGGGAAGGCACACAGTCCTCGGGGGAACTGTAGAAGGTCCAGGGAGCAAGCTGAGACACGGTCTCAACTCTAAGCCCTGTGACCACAGTCCGACCCTGGCTCACCTCCCCCTTCCAGGGAGAGGGCACAGAGGCCATGGCTGGCACTGTCTCCTATGACCCTCACACAGATCTCAGAGTTGGGTATTATTCTCTCTGTTTCAGAGATGAGAATTCTGAGGCCCTGTGTAAGAATGTGGTTGGCCAATGTCCCCACACAGCCTCCATCACAAGAGCCCACATGAGACCAAGTCTTTGCCTTTATTTACTTATTAAAACACATTTTTTTTTCTTTCTTGATTTGAGACAGAGAGGAAGGGAAAGGGAGAGAGAGATAGAAACATCGATGAGAGAGAATATCGATTGGCCCGTCCCCTGCATGCCCCGCACTGGGGATTTGGCCCACAACCTGGGCATGTGCCCTGATGGGGAATCGAACCAGAGATCTCCTGGTGCATGGGTCGATGCTCAATCACTGAGCCACACCGGCCGGACACAAATCCTTGCCTTTAAAGGACAGAAAACACAAAAGTAAACAAAACACACCAAGATAATGACAAAGGAACCCAAACCGGCTGGTGTGAGGAGAGTGGAGGCCATGTGACATTTTAGCTGAGAAGGAGCCAGCTGTAGGAAGGGTGTCCAGGCAGAGAGAACAGCAAATACAAATGTCAGCCAAGAAGACCAGAGCCAGAATCTGAACTCAAGCTTGAGTCTCTGCATCCAAAGTCCGTGTTAGTCCCAGAAACCACAATTCCAGGTGCCACTTGCTAACCAGGAGAAAGCAGGCAACAGAAAGATGGGAGAGTGCATGGAATGTATGTATTGAACCCCTTGGGTGTGTGTAGGGGCGGGTGAGAGAGAGGAGATGCCCTTGAGCAGGGAAGTAAAGAAGGAGGAGAAATTCCTCTGTAAGATGAGGGGGACAGTGCATGGGAAGGCAGATCTTTAGGAACCCAGGAAGTAAGACATGGCTGGAGAGAGCAGAGCTATGTGAGCTTGGGCAAGTCACTTTACCTCTTGAGTCTCAGTAGGCGGAGGATTAGATTTAACATGTAGAATACCTAGTATACAGTAAACACTCAATACATGTTAAATAAAGGAAGCTCCAAATGGTGACTGCTACATTATATTGGGGAAAGCTTATACCTTTGGGGTTCCTAGCTTCGCTTCTCCCCTGGGAACTCTGCACACTGGCAAACTTTGCCTTCCTGTCTTCCCAAGGGACAAGACTCCAAGTACAGCAGGAAACACTTGGATAAGTTCCAAGAAAGGACTTCCTTGGGAGGAAGGGGACAGGGCGTGTTTCCTACAGTTACAGAATTCTGGCGCTGGAAGAAATCTTTGCGATCACTTATCTAGTCCAGAGCTCTTCCATGTCTGGACAGCCAGTGTAAGAAATGTGCTTTACATCACCACCAGGGAAATTCCGGTTTCCAGGAGGCTGGAGTTTGTAACAATGTGGAGACCTGTTAAAAAACATATATAAAATAATACATACCAAATAACATATTGATTTAGAGTGAGAAAATAAATTCCTATAAATGACAGACTTTTAAAAGCTGACAAATACCTTAATCATAAAATCAGAACAATGAGACATTTTTACCTAACTACTTGACATGCCACTTGAATACATTTTTTTCCCCTACACTTCTGGGCTGCATACTCTTCATAGAGCAGTGGTTTTATTATCTTTTCTATAAGAAGTAAGAAAAGCCAGACTTCTAGCATGTTTGACCAAAAATGTTTTTTATTTTAGAAAGGTTTCTCTCAGCTTCATAATCTGTTATTGCTAATGTCACGTAACTCTTACATTTTTTATATTGTCAAATTTGGAAAAGCCAGATTTTCCATACGGTTTCCTCAGGAGCTGCTGATGTTTCAGGACAAGAATGTGCTGAGACATGACAACCAGGTGTCGTGACCTGGAACCCCTTCGGTGTCACTCACAGGTGGACCTGCTGTCGGCGGTTCTGCTCCAGGTCTGCGTCCTACAGTAGAGGCATTCTGCTCAGTTGTTGCACGTGATTCCCAACAAAAAGAGCCTAGTGTGTGGTGCATTTACGACACTTGCTGTGTCACGGGTCCTCTTCCCAGCGGCGCGGAGTTCCGCTGTTCCTGGTACCAGTGGGAACTGGGACCTCCGCTCGTAATCTTCCAGGTCTGAGACTAGCTTCTGGCTCCACGCACTGCAGTCCTTGGTTCTCCGCCCCGGTCACATTCTCCCCGTCGGGCGCCTGGGACATGTGTTCTGCTGACATTCTGATGGGACCTCTGTCCCTGCGCCTTTATGTCAGAACACCAGGTGAGTCAGCAGAGGGGGTGTGAGTGATAAGAGTATCTCTGGAAACCATTCTTCACATTAGGACTGGGGCTAGCAACCACCAAACTATTCCCAGGAGTAAGTGGAAACCTAACCACACCCTGCTAAACTCAAACTAAACGTATGTCCAACTCAACTTCCCACTAGTCGGATCTCAGATTGGTCGGACCCAGGCTTCAGAAAGAGAAAAGTGTGTTCCTGAGATGGAACAACCTCCAAGATACATTGCTCCAAGAATGAAACCAAGGTGCAGAGCGTGTGCACGGCGCGCCCTGGCCTGGGTGGCACTTGGAATACCTGGAAAGGGGCGTGAGGAGGGTGCTGGCCTCTGGGTGGCCTGGCGGTTGGGGTCGGAGGGAGACTTGCTCTTTCTGGAAAAGCCTTTTGACTTTTGTCAAGTGTTTTCTTAATCACAC